AAATATATGAAGAGGGCACGAAAAACAGGCCCTTGAAAATTTTAGAGGAGCGATAAACTACTCCGGAGGTGTAATAATTCATTGTTGATCGGTTAGATCCCTATAAATCGATCAAGGATACTATGCGTAACAAATCTAGTACAAAATAAAGGCCTAACATTCAATATAAAACCAGTCAGCAAATACACGTCCCAATGATAGGTACGTGTAACATTTGCTAACAAGGTCATTATAACGACAAAAGAATATACGAAATGCTGACTTTAAACGAGGATGATGAGATCCCTGTAGCTTCAACTTATCAGTAAGTATCAGACATCGCTTTGAAAATTGACTTTGCTGAAAGAAAGCGCTGACCAGATATATTTTTTGTAATCTTTAACACATAGTTTACATTAAATAGAGAAGAAAATGTATTGAAGATGATTGTCTGAACTTTCTCTAAAAAAAGACCCGGATTTATAATTATGCTTGTCCTCTGGTTATTTCTTTCAAATGTTTTTTTTCCTTATTGGTTTAATAAGATTTGTACAAATGTTTGATATTTTATGTTGGACTGTAAAAGCTTTGCAACATTCGACATTTAGTCTTTTAAATAATTATAACGCAAAAGATGTTCTTAGTTATTTTCCTCTCAAATTTAGCTCAAGGTCCGAATTGCTCATATATATCGAAACTTTTTCCCAGACCATAAATGAAATAGAGTCTTTGATACTTTTTTCAGACCCCCCTCCCCTGCACTGTATGCTATAACTTTATGGTATTTTTATGCTCAACTTTATTATGTCCGTGTGTATAAAATAATTCTAAATCATGTCTAACGTAAAAATGGTTACATTGGATGTAAAGATTATATATTTTTGCGCTTTAAAAATTGTGATATACTGTATTTGCTTACAACGTATTTTTAAGTTAACCACTCTTCTATATTAGGATGTTGATTGCATACGACTGTCTTATAAAAAAACAAAGAATTCTCCTTGCCAACCAGGATGGCATCCATTGTCACAGATACCATTTGTTCTGTTGCATCCTTTACATGTACTATTACATGTTTCCAGACAGTTTCGTCCGAATGTTCCATCCATGCATGCTGTAAAACATATCATTATATGAATAAATAGAATTTTGACATGTATTTTTCAACAAAGGCAAAAAATAAAAATGAAATAAAATATAATTAAATTAATACGTATAGTGTTTCAAAATACGAACATTAAATCGATAATTATTCTAGCACACTTACTTTCATTGCACAATATCCCTCCAAAACCCTCATCACAACCATTTTCACACGTCCCATTATTTGGCTGACATTGTTCAGACCTCAAACAATTTCCACAAACCCTGCTACAATTATCTCCATAAAATCCATTGTTACATACTATGATTAAAATAAAATATACATATCATCTGCAATTCAAAGGTATTGAATTAAAATTTTGCTTATTTTTTTTCTTTATATATTATAACGTTGTTCTTGAAAGCATCCGAGGACGGTAAACTCTAAAATTATGTCCTTGTAAATGAAGAAAAATATTTACCTTCATGACAGAATTCTCCTTTCCATCCAGGATGACACCCATTCTCGCATACGCCGTTTGTTCTATTACATCCTTTACATGTATTATTACATGTACTGACACAATTTTCTCCAAAATAACCGTGACTGCATGCTGGAAAAAAAGGAAAATTCCTGTCATAAGCGTGTTCTGTTTCTCTTTTAATAACAACTATTTAAGATGCATTAATGCCATAACTTCATGCTTGGTATATCTTTTTTGCAAAACTCTCCTTCTTATCCCCTTGAACATCCCTTCAAACCTGTCATTACAGTCTTAAGAAATAAAAAATAAAATATATTATCACGGAGCAAATTGACCCTCGCTATTAAAAAGACAAAAACCCATGATCAAACGATCCACTAGCACGTCTGGGTCATCTTGATCTCGCTGGTCATGAAACTTATAAATCCCCTACTCTTCTTTACATGAAAAACAATCTGCACATATTTTTAAACAAACATAGTCTCAATAGTCATATTCTAACTTGAATTCACATACCCTGTGAATGCCTTATTTACCGACTAAGATTACATTCCCTGTGCCTAGAGAAGTGATTTTTCTTCTATATATCTGTACATGTGCAATGTAAAGAATATATTTCCTTGTTTTATTTTACTTAAGTAAAATATTGTTTGTTTATTTTGCCTCAGTCTTACTTCTTCGTAATTTTAACACATTTAAAAATGTATTGACAACATAAACATGCTTGAATGCTGCTAAGAATTTAAAGAAAAAAAATGACTGCAGCATTTTAAAGATCTTTACATTTTACTCTGCATATCCCTACATAAAACATTCTTAGCCTATTATCCAGCTATAATTTCCATAACCTGTCGATTCTTCATATTTATATTTTTAATTGATCTACGTGTAGCTAGTATTATTTTTTTTCAAACAATTGATCCCTTTTTTGGTTTTACCCTAAATTCAAGTTCTACGATTTAAACTTGTGCTAACGGAGAATATTTACAAAATAATATCATTTATTATATCCTTCTGACGTTGGGAAATACATTTAAAAATGTTTTATCTTCATATATCCATTGATCCAGAGGTGTCAGTTCGAGGTCTTTTTTTCCTTTACGTTAGGATGTCTATGTCTATATGTTTGAATTTCATTCAAATCTTAATAGGTTTGATCTTTTTTACCCAAGTGATTCAAATGTTAAGCTGTTTTATTTATTGTCACACCATTTTCTTCAAAAATTGATGATTTTGGTCAAAATAAATTACTTGATGAATCTTTTGTCAAAGTGATTTAAGAAGAGATGATACAAAAAAATGGATTCCTAGATAGGTATATGTTTTTTGCCTAATTTCATTGCAAATATTACAAATTTCTAGAATATAAAGAAATTGTGAACATTTTCTGATGTTCAAAAGTCTGCCCTTTTGAATCAATCCTTATTAATCTATACAAATATTTTTCACTTCAAATCCTATTTTTTTGTGAAATTTTGAATAGAAAATTAAAATCTACGCGGTTAAACGTATTCATTTCAATCATTTTAACCTTACCCGAGTTCTTATTTTCACATTTTTGGACCTGTTTTATGTATCATCTGTCCTAAACACCAATGCAGCCATACCGATAAAGTCTTGGATCTTTCAATATTTTTTTTTTGGTAAATCGCTTACCTTGATGACAATAATCTCCTTCCCAACCTGGAACACATCCATTGTCACATTTACCATGTGTTCTGTTACATGTAGAACGGTAACAAGTTCTGTTACACATTTCCATACAGTTTCTGCCAAATCTTCCTATTTCGCATGCTGAAGGTGTAATAATTTGTAGCAAACATTAATCCTATAATTGTTGAAACAAATGTTCTTAAAAATGGTAAAAATTTTAAAAAGAAATTACATATTTGTAATTGACTCTTACTTTTATTGCAGAAATTCCCTTGATATCCTTCATCACAACCCTTCAAACATGTTCCATTAACTGGATGACAAGGATCTAGTCTTATGCATTTCCCACAAAGCATGCTGCAGTTATTTCCATAAAATCCACCTTTACATTCTATAACAATTAAAATTCACAATTTCAATATCTCTCTTGTCTTCGGAATACATCATGATCTTCTCAGAAAAGAAGACTTTGCCATAGCTTATTTTATTTACTTAGAAAATTACGTAAAATGTCGATGGATAGCGTTTAAAAACATCACTGAGTGTTTTAATAATTCTAAAGAATATATTATTTCATTTATCTTTTTTATCTGTCATTTTTTTCTAGTTACGGCATAAAAGGCACTAAAAAATAAATAAATTAATTAATTGATGTATAAATAAATAAAGAAAAAAGCCTTAATTTTCGTATTTTTTTTACCTTCATGACAGAATTCTCCTTTCCAACCAGCATAGCATCCTTCATCACATATCCCATTTGTCCTGTTACAACCGTAACATGTACTATTACAGTTGTTGAAACAATTTTCTCCAAAGAATCCATACGAACATGCTAGTGGTTTAAAGAGAAAAAAGTTACATATAATATTTTTAGAGATAGTACATCTTATCTTATCCGGGTGTTATATAATTTTGGAATATTGTCTTATCCGAAAAATTTCTGTGAAACCCGTGGTTTCCATATTATACAAGTTTTATTGAATATCATTTCTCTCGGTTTCTTTTATATTTACTTTCATTGCAGAAGTGTCCCTCATACCCTTCAGAACAACCATTTCCACATCCATTAACTGGATGACAAGGATCTAGTCTTATGCATTTCCCACAAAGCATGCTGCAGTTATTTCTATAATATCCACCTTTACATTCTATAACAATTAAAATTCACAATTTCAGTATCTCTCTTGTCTTCGGAATACATCATGACCATCTCAGAAAAGAAGACTTTGTCCTAGCTTATTTTATTCATTAGAAAATTACGTAAAAATATTGAAGGATAGCGTTTCAAAACACCACTGAGTATTTTTATAATTCTACATAAAATATTATTTCATTTTCACTCATTTGGGGAACCAGAAGTCACCTTTTATTGTACATTCTGCTAAAATTATTGCCGAGATCAAAGAAATGCCGCTGATATTATTCTCCAATAAATCACGAACGTCATCAAAAAATTATCAGATCAGAATCACGTATCAAACCTGTGCAGTTGACATGTACATTTGATTGAAAAATCAAATACTTATTTACACTACATCATTTTTTTTAATCATTTTTTTTCTGGTTAAGGCATGAAAGGTACTGAAAATTAGATAATTAATTAATAAATAAATAAATAAACAAAAACAGCCTTAAATTTTGTATTTTTTTTTTTACCTTCATGACAGAATTCTCCTTTCCAGCCAGCATAGCATCCCTTATCACATGCCCCATTTGTCCTGTTGCAACCGTAACATGTATCGTTACAGGTGTTGAGACAATTTTCTCCAAAGAATCCATACGAACATGCTAGTGGTTTAAAGAGAAAAAAAGTTATGTATAATATTTTAAGAGATAGTGTAACTTATCTTATCCGAGTGTTACATAATTTTGGAATGTTGTTTTATCCGATAAATTCTAAGAAACCCCTGGTTTCAAAAATATATAAGTTTTATTGAATACCATTTCTCACAGTTTCTTTTATATTTACTTTCATTGCAGAAGAGTCCCTCATATCCTTCAGAACAACCATTTAAGCACGACCCATTAGTTGGATGACATTCATCTGGCTTTCTGCAATGTCCACAAGAGGCGTTACACTGCTGTCCAAAAAATCCATGATCACATTCTGCAATAATTTAAATACTTTATTACATTTCAAATAAAGGAAGGGAGATATATTCCTGCAAAAAAAAAATTCTTTTTATGTATGATCGTGGTAACGTACAATATTTTCAGATCATAGAGTTTAAAAAAGCTTAGACGTGTATATGGGGTTCTCCCTAGAAAAGTCCTTTATTCTGTTAGTGTTTTTTTTATTTCAAAAATTACGTGTAACATTTTATTGTTATGCAATTCTGTTCTTTTATAATTAACTAAGAGAATAAAATATCTAGAAAGTCTACTTTTGCAAACAATAGTATATGTCGCCCCGAACTGGACAAGACTTTCATTTTTTCATCACTAAAAGAATACCCATAAGCTTGGGAAACAATCAACTCGTATCCTTTCAGTACTTTGATTTAAAAATAAAATTAAAGAATTTTTACTTTTCCCCTATTTCCATGGAAACTATTTATAATTTGCATTTTTTAAAAATCCAATGAGGACAATTACAGATAATAGTCATTACATAAATAAAATTTCATGAAGAATGTCCAAGAGACCAGAAAAAAAAACACTTGCGGGCAAAATTCGTCGCTTTTTGCAGGTTTCCATGGCAACAAAAGTCATTTTGAAACCGAATGACAGCACAACACAACTATATCCAGTGATGCTCCTTTGAATAAAGTTTGAGAAAGATTGTCCCGACCATCTCCGACCTCGTTCGGGGCGACATAATTATTTTTTTAAGGGTTAGGTCAACATCAAAATAAGTTTTTGTAAGGCTTCTTCTGCGTTATTTTAATGTTTAATTTTCTCATAAATATCATCTAAAGATGATGTATTTGAAATGTTTTTTTTTTTCTGTTTGTTTTTGTTTTTTTTTTTGTTTTTTTTTTACATTTTGTAGATACTACAAATGTCTAGGAATTTCAAAGTGCGGGAAATCAATTGTGACGTCGCACGAAAATATAAACATTCAAAATCATCTAAATAGAGAGAATCTCTGCTACTAAACACCAAAAAATATTAATTTAAAAAAAATTGCTTCAGAAATTTGTCGCGATACATTGACTATGACCTGTTTATTATGAAATAAAACTGATCATGACGGGTGTGTGTACTTAATCTCGCTGCACTGAGAATATTCGAACACTACGTCTATGACGTCACTGACGTCAGACTGCGGGGTTAAGAGAAACAAATGTGTGGATTGGGCAACTTCACTATATCTAAATGATGGCAAGATCTTTAAAAATTTTATAATTTATAATTTCTAGAATTTAATTTAATGCCCCCCAGGTTCAGTGGTTCCTGTGGGGCGGGGTGCACAACTGGTTATAGGGTGGAAATGCATTTTCTCTTTGTTACTCTTATTTTTCTCTGGGTATTAAGTAACCAAAGTAACCAAGATAAGTGTATAGTTATGATAAGCAAAAAAGCCTCTTTCAAAATGTTGAACTTTATTGCTCTTGATTTAAAACACGAACCAATTCAATTGTTGGAAAGTTGTTACATGATACTCAGGTGACCTATAAGGCCCATGGGCCTCTTGTTAATTTAATAATTTCGTTTCTTTCTTATTTTTTGGTTTGCGCTGTTTTTCGTTTATATTTTATTTAAGTAATCCTCCCACCCACCCATTTGACGGTTTTGTTTTCTTTATTTCATAATTTCTTTATTTAATTTTGGTTTGAACTAATGAGCTAACGTAATTCTGATAACTGCAAAAAAAAAATCATTAATATACATCCAAATAGATAGTCATTGTCATAAAATATATGCTATATTTAGGCGAGGGTAATACGACTTTTGAAGCTCAAATCATATACAATTTATACGCGAAAATCGCATTTCTCTCTGCTAGTGCAGTATTGCATTAAAACAAACATCTATACAATTTTACTGTAGCCTATTCTAAATCAACATAATTTATTTAACAGAAGAAATATTTATTTCCTTTCAGGGTGTTTCTTGTTCAAAAGAACGGTGGTTGTGTGGGTGACAAAAATAAAATATAAATTTCATATACTTGGTATAGTTTTACTTATTTTTAATTTTTATCTCTGAAAGAGTGCGAAAGCAAATTTTATACATATATTCTGACAATTAAACAAATTTCCTTGAATATCTTACTTACGGCATCCAGTTTCAATGTCACAGTGCTGGCAACCTCCACATGTTGTACAAGATGGTCCATAGAAACCAACATTGCAGCCTTTAAATGAAACAAATTGAAGAAGAAATAAAACCTTTTACATAATGCTAACTTTGTAAAAAAGAAAATATATCATAGATGGAAGTAAATAAAATACAAGACTAACTTATAAAAAAAAAATATATGAGATCTATTTCTGTAACCATTGTGACATAGACGTATATTTCTTATTTTTGGATTTAATTTGCTGAATTGATAAATAATTTATGAGAGGCCAGTGCTGAACTAATGTTTAGGGTTTGGAGTCCATATTTCAGAATGGTAAAACACGAACGTGCTTCATGCTTGTAATGGTTTTAAAGTACATTAAGTTTGTTTTTCACTGTAATTTAATATTGAAGTGGAAAATACAATTATTGTAATTAGTCGAACCATGCATCAACTAGCTCAAAATATGAGCAAATAATGAGTTCCAGTAAAGGAACACAGGGGGTAAGATGCTAAAAATCTAGGCGTACGACGAAAACTTGCATGAGAGGAACACCGACGCAAAGTTTACGAGCTCATCAATCACAATCGATTTCTTTCAGATTTGGATGAGTGTGACTTATGATTACACACTGTGTGATCAGTGTTTTAGAAGTAATGAGATGAAAGTTTTTGTATCCTGATCTTGAAGCTGCGATTTTCTGCGCCAGGGTCAAGTCACTGTCGATTGAAAACCCTTCAAACTCCTCTTGGACGACGGATAACACAATGATTTTAATAAGCTGCACAGCTAGATATTGTAGCCCTCTTTTCTTCTTTGACAATACAAAATCCGCATTTTAATGAATTTCTTACCGGTGTTCTATAGTTGATGGAAATTAATATATCGTCAAACGATGTATCATTGAAAATTATCAATAAGTAGATTAAGATAACTTCTATAGGATTTCTTTAGCAGATTTAAAATATATGTATTTGCTTGCACAAGGTAATGCATTCACTTTTCGCAGAACTATTTTTTTGGCGAACACACAATTCCATGACGTTGCAAAAGAAAGTTCCTTATTTAAAAGAGTTTATAGTACGTTTAACGTTTATTTGGCTACCAATAGGGGAAAATAGTTAAAAAAAAACACTAGTAAATATTAGAAGTATCATTCAACATAAAAAGACCAAACTCTTTTTCCTACATTCAGTACATTTACCTAAGGGTGCACATTTACATTGTAAATCAAACTTTAGCAATCTACTTGAAACCAGCTAAAATAGTCAAAGCTTACACCACGATATAAATTGACATAGAGAGAGAGGTGGGAAAAAAGATTTTCGGGACGACTTGACCCTTCTTTAGCACAAAGGAAAAAGTTAAAGAGTTATAAAAACAATGGAAACAAAGAAACAAACAAAAAAAAAAAAAAAAAAAAAAAAAAAAAAAAAAAAACTATCACTACTACTATAAGCTACTAAACACTAATTATTTACAGTGTAGCATATTAAAGTTTAAGTGTCTCTCAGTTGTAGAAAAAGAAATCCGGAGTGCTGAGAAATGCGTCCGATCTCTCGGGCATACATTGTACTCTGGTGAACAGATCATCAGTTATGACGTCACCGGTTTGTTATTTAACCCATGTGATAAGTACATAGACCTAGAAAGGACAAGATTCCCTTTATATTATGCCTCTGCATATTTTGATTCACTTTTACGACCTCAAATCAATCTTAGATGTCGATTGTAAGAAATTGTTATTTCTAATGTTTACGACATAAAGCTTACTATGACGTCATACCATATAGGCAAGTAGAATATTTGGTTGTAACCTTGACATATCTGCAAATACACATAATTTTTTTAGAGAAAAACAATTGAAGACTGCCTTCATATGAATTAAAGTATTGGACTCTGAAAAAAAAAAAAAAAAAAAAAAAAAAACATGTGCCACAATGACAAAAAATGAATATTTTGACAGTTCTTGATTTCCACCGAAACCATTGATATTGTCCACAAGAAAAAGTAGAACAGTTTTATGTCGAGTCAAAACTTTAAATTCAAGGATGTACAGTTGCTTCCTTTATAAAACATGTGTTAAAAGGATCTTCATGAAATGTATTCTGCACATGTCTTGGATATTTATTCATGTGTAGGCCTATGTGATTTGCAGGATAGAATATGGGAAACATATTATGTCAAGAAAAATTGATTTCTTTGATCTTATGTTTATAATTTTTTTTGCATTGTAATAAACAAAGTTGAAGTCATCCTGTTGTTACGTAAGTAGATTAACTATGATGCCCAGACTTCTTTTGCTGTATCAATTTCGAAGGAAAAGCTTCATATATATTATAAGTATAAGGTAGATTTTATTAATATTGTTTCATTCAGGAGAAAAGAACATAGAATTTATTAACTTTGTGGTAATTTAAGATATTATTTAATTAAATTTAAGATCTGTAATTATAAGATTTAATGTCTCCCAAACACTGTATTTAATGCGTGTAAATATTAACTTTACTTTGGGGAAAAATGTATGGTTTTGATTTTCAACCGATGTCGATGTTGAGTTGAAAACACCAGTAAATTTGTCGGTAAGTTAGATTTTTTGTGAAATATTTTGTACCATAGTAAATAACTTTTCCAAAGCACATTTCGGTTTTACAAGGATGTAACGAGCAAGGATGCAACAAGTTTATTTACATGACAAAAAGTTTTAAATAATTGTGTTATAGGGATGCGCCAAAGGGATTATTTTGAAGCACTTTAAAAAGTTAAAAATGACCGTCACGTGAACAACAAATATGTTTATATATAGCCTAGGAAACTCTTGATATGAATAGGCCGAATTTAGGTACATAATTTAAAATTAAACTTAAAATCGACCTTCCAACCCAGTGTTACGTTTTAAACGCATTTAAAGCTATGGAAAGCTTTAACAGTACTGCCATGAGAAAGATTTAAGTGTTGATATTCACCTAAAATAACTGACATCTTTAGTCTTTATGTAATGAAGGTAAGTTGTATTCCAGTAAAAATAGTTTACGTTATACATGTAAAAGGAGTTGCAGGAAAGAAGATAGGAACCCAAAAGCGTAACGGAGGGACGTCCAGACGGACGGACGGAAATTCCTATCACTATATACCCTCCAACTTTTCAATCGGGGGGTATTAAAAATATAAGAAATCGTATTTCTTAAATTGAAAAAATATGCAATTCTTACCATAAGCTTTTATTTCACAAACTTCTAATATAGCACCGTTGATACCGTAAGGCTAGTTTTCTGGGGCCTGATATGTTGTCGTAACTCTTATGTATCTGGCATATTCTTTACATGTAATATTTTGTACACTTGAAGGGACAATAGGGTATTCTGTGGTATCTCTGTGGCAAATGATCCATTGTGGCGAATTCCCTCTTCTAGTAACAGATAGTTCAAATTTCCGAAATCTGTATGGTTTCCAAGAATCTATGAAATACAATGGAGCCTCGGTGATCATGACACAAATTAACTGGGTGCGCTATGTCTTCCAGAATATATTTTTAAGGAACAATTTATATTTAGAAATACCAAGTATGTTTAAGTTATCCCGACGCTTCATTCAAGTCAATTTTATGTGTTCTTGACAATCAGAGGAATACATGACATAATAATTTTTGCCTATGACTTGAAATAATTTTTGGAATACACAATGATTTTAAGACCGCCTCTATGGTAAAACCAGGCAAAATGTGAAAAACAAAACGCCAAGGAGTGATATCTCTCACCTGAGCATCGGCTAGGGAAAAAAAATCAGTTTAGTATTGAAAAGCTTAAATTCATAAGTGGTCCCAACTTACCCATAAAAAGGAGAGAGGGGGTTATAATTTGAAGAAAATTGAATCTACACTTGCTAAGGATATTTACATATTTTTTGACTAACTCTGAATTAACATAATGTGGCCCTACCTTACCCCTAGGGGTCTCAATTAGAACAAACTTAAATTAATACTATATGCGGATGCTTCCATATAAATATAACCAATCATGGCTTTGCTGTTCTGGAGAAGATTTGTAAAGATATTTCTTATATATTCCAATGTAAAATTTTGATCGTCCATTGTCCCCCCAACCCTACCCCGGGGGTCATGATCTTTTTACGAACTTGAATCCACAGCACATGGGGAAGCTTCCATACAAATATGACCAAACATTGCCTTGCTGTTCTTGAGAAGGTTTTTTTTTTTGAAGATTTCTCCGAGATATTCCTATGTAAAACTTTGATCGTCCATTATGGCCCAACCCTATCCCTAGGGGTCATGATTTGAACAAACTTGAATCCACATCAACGGAGGATGCTTCCACATAAATATGACCTATCAAGGCTTTGTTGTTCTTAAGAAGATTTTTGAAGAATTTTCCTATATGTTCCTATGTTAATTTTGATCATCCATTATGGCCGAACCCTACCCCCGGGGTTCATGATTTGAACAAATTTGAATTTGCATTACCTGACAATGATTTCACATGAGATTCATCTATCCTGGTACATAGGTTCCTAGAAGAAGTTTTTTCAATGATGCCATTTATTTCTTGCTACATGTATTTCATAACCATCTCCCCTTGGAGGAGGGCGTGGCACTTCATATGATCAAAATTGAATTCCCTTTACCTAAGGATACTTTTTGGCAGGTTTTGTTGATATTCGCCGAGTGGTTCTTGAGAAGAAAATGAAAATGTGAAAAGTTTACGACGACATTGACAACAACGACGAAGACTGAAAAAGAACAAACTTCGATCATAAATGCTCTCTTGAGCCTTCGTTTCAGGTGAGCTAAAAAGGATATGCCTAGAAATAACGTTTTTTTAATTGACTTTAGATGATGTTTGTTGAAAAGTCAATGTTTGGAATAATAATAATAAAAAAGCGAAGTCATTCTTTTTATTCATATCGAGTTATTTTCAGTAGCAGCATGCATATTTTTAATTTATCGCTCATTGCAATTGGTTAATTGATTTTTTGTGGATTTTACTGAACAGTTTCAATTGAAATCACTTATATTTCTGTAATGATGTTTTATAACACTAGTATCAAACGCTCT